TCCTTGGGCCTTGCTGGTGCTCCTCCTTGGCCTTGCTGGTCCTCCTCCTTGGGCCTTGCTGGTCCTCCTCCTTGGGCCTTGCTGGTGCTCCCCTTGCTGCCGTGGAGACAGTATCTTCAGTAATGTTGCTCTTTGCTCCCTTCCTGTCTCTGCTTGGTCTTGAGTCTACAGGAGTCTCTGGCTTCTCTGCTGTTTCAAATTTCATTTTGCTGTTCTATCTGTGAATTCTGGACGCAGGCCAGCCCCTTGCCCCTTAGGAACTGATGCTCTAGGGCCTACCTACTCATGCTTCTGGCAGGAAAGCTCACGTTTGGTAGGGTTCTGAGGCACAGGGACTCCATTCAGGACAGCAGAAGGCCCACAGTTGTGTAGGCTTCTCAAAGCTACTCTAATAACACTCTTAAATTGCAGGTGAGTATGATCTGCGACGCAGGGACCACTGGGAATTGGACCTGGAAATCAAGGAGATTCTCGTCCACCCTAACTACACTCGGAGCAACAGTGACAATGACATTGCACTGCTCCGCCTGGCCAAGGAAGCCACTCTGTCTAAAACCATAGTGCCCATCTGCCTGCCAAACAATGGCCTGGCGGAGGAGCTCACTCAGGCTGGCCAGGAGACAGTGGTGACAGGCTGGGGCTATCAAAGTGACAAAATCAAGGATGGCAGAAGGAACCGCACCTTCATCCTCACCTTCATCCGCATCCCTCTGGCTGCTCGAAACGAGTGCGTGCAGGTCATGAGAAATGTGGTCTCAGAGAACATGCTGTGTGCAGGCATCATTGGTGACACGAGAGACGCCTGTGATGGTGACAGTGGGGGGCCTATGGTGGTCTTCTTTCGGGGTACCTGGTTCCTGGTGGGCCTGGTGAGTTGGGGTGAGGGCTGCGGGCACCTCAACAACTATGGCGTCTACACCAGAGTGGGCAGCTACCTTAAATGGATCCATAGCTACATTGGGGAGAAGGATGCCTCTCTCAAGAGCCAGAAGTCACTCTTAGAGTAAGGCTGGGTTAGTGAGTACCAAGACAGAGGACATTAAAGGGACATGCAACAAACATACCTACCTGAGTACCTGTCTGTCTTTCCATCCTTTTATTGGGGTATTCTGGAGAAAAGTCATGTTAATTGAGCATTTACTCTACACTGAGTGTATAATAAGAACCTGCTTAACTCGCAAGGCAATTGTGTGGGGTGGGGGCAGTGGAAGACCTAGTGGGATCTGAGCTGACATCACTTGTGAGGGTCGGGGATGATTTGTAGAAAGAAGTTTGTGGGTTTTTTTTTTTTTAAGTTACTACAAGAGACTAATAGAGCCTTTCTCAGGGCCTCAGAAAGAGCCCGAGCTAATTACATCAGAAAAGCTTGTCAGTGACGAGGTAGCCAGTGAGTCTCAGAATGGCCATGTAGTGGAGCCAGGATTCAAACCAAGGTCACACTCCCAAACTCAGCTGCTTCTCTTGTCCGTTGTCCCTGGGTGTATGTGTGGGTGTGTGAGTGGGTATGTGCATGTGTGCATGTGTGCATGTGTATGTGGTATATACGTATGTTTGGGGACCAGAGGACAACTTCATGTGTTGTTTCTCAAGCTCCGTCCACGGTTTTTTTTTTTGGACACGGGGTTTCTCACTGTCCTGAAATCTACCCAGTAGGCTAGGCTGGCTGGCCACCAACCCCCACCCCACCCTGGCTTTGACAAGTGGAGACAGAAGATCAGTAGCCCACTGGGGAAGTAACCAGATGCCCAGAAGGTGCTCCTCATAATGACCTTACAGATTTATTGAAGAATCTGTTTAATAATGAAGTTATAGGCTGGGTGTAGTGGCAGCACCTGCAGTCCCCGATACTCTTGAGCCTAAGGCAGGATTGCTGCAGTTCAAGAGGTGGGGACATCCTGGGTAACATAGCAAAATCCCTTCCATTAAAAGAACAAAAGGGAAGGAAGAAGGAAAAGGTAGAGTGTGGAGGAGGAACAGGGGAGGGAAGGAGAGAGAAGGGGAGGGAGTCTGTCTCAGTGAGGGTTTTACCGCTGTGAAGAGACACCATGACCAAGGCAACTCTTGTAAGGATAACATTTAATTGGGGCTGGCTTACAGATTCAGAGGGTCAGTCTATTATCATCAAGGCAGAAGCATGGCAGCATCCAGGCAGGAATGGTGCAGGAGGAGCTGAGAGTTCTACATCTTCATCTGAAGGCTACTAGGAGAATACTGACTTCCAGTCATCTAGGATGAGGGTCTTAAAGCCCATGCCCACAGTGACATACCTACTCCAACAAGGTCACACCTCCCAGTAGTGCCACTCCCTGGGCCAAGCATATACAAACCATCACAAAGTCCAACTAGACCGCCACTGGGGCATGGACAACCTCCAGAGTCCACCCCCAGAGGGAACTGTCTCTCCCTTCCACAGCAGTTACTAGTTTCAAATAGCTCCTCAAGGACAGATGGGGCCTTGTGAGCCTCTCTCGCTCCAGGCAGGAATGCTGGTTGGCTTGATCTTTTGCAGATCTGGCACAGCTCTGTTTGTTTGTTTTTTTAATCTATTATTTTTGGGATGGAGGACATATGCATGCCATATCACCGGGGTGGAGGTCAGAGGACGGCTTTCAAGAGTCACTCCTCTCCTTTCAATGTGATCAAACTCAGGTTGTCAGCTTGGCAGCAAATGCCCTTACTTGCTGAGCCTTCTTGCTGGCCCCAAAAAGGCATAATTAGGTGAGACAGGATTTACATGGAAAAAAAGCTGAAATAATTGATCAGAAGTCTTAAAATTGGTCCAGCTCTCTGTGGTTCTGAATTGGGTAAATCTTTTTCCTTCTCTGATTGCAGTGGTGGATTTCAGTTGTCAATTTGACTGGATTAGGTAATAATCAATCAGTTAGCAGGTGTGTCATTCTAGTTTTGGCTACTATAATAAAAGAGTTGAGACAGGCCAACTTTATAAAGAAAAGATATTTATTTAGCTCACCATACATACATAAAACAAAATTTTTAAATGTTTGCTCATATTGAAGTAGAATAAAGTAGAAAATACCAATTATTAGATGGTAACTTACTGATTTATTTAGTGATTTACTTAAAGCCCTGCTTGTACTATCTGTTTGTCAAGCATGATGTTACTTGCTACCTGGAACAAAATGACCTGGAGGAAGAGCTGAAAGGTCATTGCCCTTAACAACCTGCTGACTGCCACATGCAATTCTGTTAGATCTAACAGGACCACACTTTCCTGCCAGTGTGCAAGCTTGTTCTTCCTGGCAGTGTCAATGATACGTGAAGAAAAGGAGTTGCAATTCTTAAACTCAGACTTAGACTGGTCAAAGTGATGAGAGGGTCTCTTTTAGCCCAGGATGGTTCCTATTTGCTATGATGCTGGAGATGATCTTCTGATCCTATTTCCAGCTCCTACACGTCGGGATTACAGGCATGGGCCAGCACCCCACTTTACACACTTCTCCAGTACTTGAGAGGTGGAGCCCAGGGATCTGAGCATCCTAGGCCAGGGCTCCCACCTCCCTTATAAGTCAGGTCCCCAGCACTGCTATCCCTTGTTGGTTCTATTCCTAGTTCATCACATTTGTGTTCTGGAACTCACTCTGTAGTCCAGGTGGGCCTCGAACTCTCAGCCTCAGTCCTCAGAATGCTGAGAAGACAGATCTGAGTGATCACTGATGGCTGAAAGTCGTGATTTCATTGTTGTTGCTTGTTTGTCTATTCTTTTGTACATGGGGCCCAAATACAAATAGTAACCTCAACAATAAACACGGGAATAAGTCGCTGCTCTGTCTTAGGGTACCCCCCCCACCTCTGTTTTGGGGGTTTTTGTTTTGTTATCTGTTGTTGTTGTTGTTGTTATCATGTCTATAACTCTACATTCTTTCCTCCCTCCTTCCCTTCTTACCTCTCTCTCTTTCTTTGTCCCTTCCTTCCTCCCCCCCTTTTTCTTGCCCCCCCCCACCCCAGAGAGGAAGCAAGCATGATAAAAGCTTGTGGTATTTTTCTTTTTATGTAGACAGTACTGTGTAGTGAGTGTTATACTATGGGGGCTGCCATTCTGCTGTATGTTACCTGGTGTATGTTATATACCAACCTAGATGGTGGTAGACCCACATGGTTGCTTCCATCTTGGTGAGGTTACCAGCCAAGATGTCTGCCATCCACATGATTGCCTCCATCTTGGTGAGGTCATTGTTCAATAAAGTGACAAAACAAAACATTAAAAACAAACATATGAACACAAAACCTTCCTGGGATTAAAGAAATAAAAGGAAGCCCGGTGTGGCCGTACAGGCCTTTAATCCTATCACTTGGGAAACAGAGGCAGGTGGAGCTCTGTGAGCTGGAGGCAGGTCTATGTAGTGATTTCCAGGGCTATGTAGAGAGAGCCCTGACTCAACTAATAGATAGGAGAATAAATAAATATAATGAACTTGGACTAAAACGAAAGAAACAAGGGAAGGCAGTGCTGGGGGCCTGGCTTATGGCAGACGGCAGAATCCTGGGCTAGGGTGCCAAAAGCTCTGGGCTTCATCCTCTGTAGCGCAGAAACTCGGTATGCTGGCCTGTGTCTGTAACCCCAGCACTCAGGAGCTGGAAACAAGCAGAGGTGTGCTTGGGCTGGGGTGGGGAAACGCTGCTTTCCTGCTGCTTTGCACACTTAGCCTTTCTCAGCTTTCGGAGGGAACTCCAAGCTCATGTGTTAGACTTCACTTTTGTATTTAAGTTTATCTGGTAGTCAGCAAGCCCTTGGATTATTTCACCTCTCTTACCCTCAGGGCATCAGACACATGGTCTCACGGCCTCTCTCGGGACTTCTTCCTAAGTGCTGCTGGGAGTGAGTCTTTCTAAATTATTCTAACGTCGTTGTTGTTGTTATGGTATTATTATCTCTTTAACCTTTACCTTTTTATCATGAGGCAGAGCAGAGAGGGGAGAAAGGAGACAGAGAGGCTTGGCTGTTTGTCTATAGCAGTCTTCCCAATTTGGCCATATGGAATAAATATCGTCTATTATTAGCACTCTCTGAAGCCCCCTTCCTATTACCACTTTCCCCTGCCTGCAATGTTATTGACTCCCTGAGGAATTATGTCTTGCCCACCCCAAGAGACCCTGTCAATCCCTGTCTACATGGATTGTAGACATGATCCTTTTTCTCGCATGAACTCCATATTCCCTGGGTTTCCACACTGAGTAAGAATCTGGCAGGACAAGGGGCCATGTTGGAAGACAACCCCTATTTCATTCAGTGACTCAGCAAAATATTGGTAAAAGTTTGTAAATACAAGTAAGCCAGAAAAGTCGGGCTTGCTCTAATCATTCCCTAGGTAGAAAATCAAACTTCTGTACCTGGTACTGAGACCCAACCAGTCCTGTCTTGATACAGGGACCAGGCTCAACAAGTTACATGCGCTGATGGTCTTCTACTGAGCTCCTAGAATATTCCTAAAGGGATCAGTGAAATACAGAGCTGCTAGTATCCAAGAGACTAGGTTCACTCTTAGCCTAAAGCTTTGGCCTTCAGCTCTGCACACTCCTTTCTTCCCAAAGGCACTCGGCCTGGGCCAAATGACGAGAACGAGGTAAGTTAGCACATCACTTGGTAGGAACACCAAAGGGAAACAAGTTGCAGACTGAAAAGCCCATTGGATCACCATCTCCAACACTCCAACTGAAGTATTCTGCCCTCGGTTTCTCTAAGTTCCCTGGCAGGGCGAGCAGTTTCGTCAGTACTGTTTATGGCCCTACACAGGCAGCCACCTCCAGTAAGCTAGAGACCACATCATTGTCCAGACCACATCACTTTGACTTAACATAAGATCACTTATTAGATTCCATGGTAGCTTGCCCCTCCCTTCTAATGTAGTGGAAAGCCAGAGAATAAGACACGGTCCACAGTAGGACATCATGTAGGCATTCCAGATGCCTACACCGATGAGTGCCCTGAGCACCAGGCAGGTGCTGATGCTACGCAGAACCAAAGAAGCAAGAACTAAAGTACTCAGAGGAGATGAGAAGTCCCCACAATAGCTCCCAGAAGAATGAAGGTGTTTTCCTCAGAAA